ATTGTAATAAGGTTAACCACCACAACCTCACCTTTGATGTGTACAACCACAGCAGAGTCACCAGACTCACCAAATCTGTGGTCTAGATGGTAAAAACAAACAGGGAAAGGACAAACTCCTTAGAGGGCCCAGTATTGCAAACCATCTGCCAGATGTACATGCAGGAGATGTACATACTGTGGTTTGCTAGTTAGGCAACCTATAAAACACTTCTCCATCACAATTAACTTATTTTTCACCACATATTAACATAAAATACGCTGCAAGGTTTCTTTAGTGTTTTTGTTTTTATGTTAGAGGTAATTTAGCGTGTTGGTTCATCTCACAACAGAAAGATGCATGTCAGCTAAGACATGATCAAAGTTTGCTCCTTCAAACAGGACTATTGATAGAACTTTTTGGGATTTAACAGGAAATTATCCAAGTCCATATCTTTTTCTAAGCACACAGTTGACCTGAACTATGTCTGCTCTGCTCCTGTTTGGTGCCGCTGCCTCCAGAACCAGGCCAGGCCTAATAAATTTTGCAGCCTACCTTTATGGACTGTACTTAAACCATTTCCTCATTGAAAGAGAGCTGCTGCTGAGACAAGAGAGGATGGGGAGATTTCCAACCACATCAGAGTTCTCTGCATCTTCTGCTAATGGAGCAAAAAACTTCACAGCAACATCACAAGTTAACTGTCCTGACCTCCACACAACCCCTTCAAACCTTCTGCCAGGCTCTGTAATAGAAAAATATGTGTCATTCAGCCAACAAGTTTATGAAACTTTACATATTCATTTATTTATTTGTTCTATTTAAAGTAAAATTGGTCATAATTAAAGCCTCTTAAAATGTATTTTACCTGCTGCCTTCATGCCAGAGGTTTAGACTGAGATCATCTTAACAGATTTGTAGCTGCTTTGGCTTAAAAAAAGAACATGTACAGTACATGTAAATGTTATCTGCAAATTAAAATAAACACATGATCTGATTCATTTTAATGCATTTTTTAATCTTGAGTGGATTTTCAGCATTTTTGATGCATTTGGTACATTTGTCAAGCTTGAGTGTGTAATTGTGTGTAACACTGCAGCCAACTCTTTACATTTAGATTCTTGTTTAATTCCATTCATGATGCTTTTAAAGTTTATTTACAGAAGCTGACTTACTTTCAGTGGTTCTCAAATTTCCATTTTCTACTAGCAGGCATTTGAAATCATCATCTTGCAAGATGTAACCATTCATTCAACCATTCAATCATTTATTCAGTATTGTGCATGAAAATTACAATAAACATTTTTATGGGGCATCTATTGTGATATAATTTAATTTTTTTTAATCTAAGTGTTGCCATGTAATGAGCTAACAATAATAATCTGTTTCTTGTAAGCATTAATCAATCAACAGATATTAAACGTTTCTAAAAAAAAAAAAGAGGTCTGTTTGTTCTTTTGCAGAAATTAGGGGACTGACGTTGCAGAAAGCAATTGAACCTTTAAAGTCACCCTCAGGCATATTCTAGGAAGTGCTTGTTACGTAAAGACTGAGCTGGAAGTCATTACTCTAATACGTAGCCTGAAGAGCTCAAAGTCATGCACAAAAGTCTGCTCGAGGCAATTAGATACAGGTGATGCTAAAGATGAACGGAAGGAAGGACCCCTGAGAGGAAAAGAGGATGGAGACATGAAAGTGAGCTACACTTAATGATGCTGAAGAGGAGATCAGAAGGCAAAGGCTCCAAATGGGTCTGTGTGGAGTCAACTGAAACTGGTAAGTCTGTGCTGTCCGGTCAATCCCAGGTGATGCCAGTGAAAAACATGTTTCTGTTTATCTGATTAACACTCTTCTTGTACAGAACCATGGAATGACTCAGCTTTTCCATTGCCAAAAAAGGCACCATCTATGCTTTTTTAAACAGATGACTGTTTTTAACTTTTACCGATAAAATTTCTCGGTGCAGCCAGGAGGTGGAGGGGGTTCGGTTTGGTGACCTCAGGATTCTGTCTTTGCTATTTGTGGATGCTATGGTCCTGTTGGTGTCATCCAGCCATGACCCTCCGCTGTCACTGAGATCTGAAGAAGTTGAGCTGCAAGGCAAAGCTCTCTGCATACCAGTTGGTCTGCTTTCTCACCTTTACCTATGGTTACAAATTCTAGGTATAGTGATCCAAAGTCAAGATTACGTGTAAAAGCATTAAAAATTTGTTTTCTTTGCAGAGTAGCAGGGCTTTCTGATAGAATTAGAAGTTAAGTTATTTAGCCAAGATTCAAAGTAGAGCTGCTGCTCTTCCAATCAAAAGGAACCACTTGAAGTTTTTCAGACATCTAGTGAAGATGCCCCCTATAGCCACTTGCCTAGGGAGGTGTTCCAGGCATGTCTAGAAGGAGACCCTGGGAAAGACCTAGGACATGCTGGAGAGGCTGGTCTAGGAGCATCTTGGAAATTTTACGAAAGAGCTGGATAAGGGGGCTGTGGAAAGAGATGTCTGGGCCTCCCTGCTCAAGCTGCAGCCCCCTGACTCAACGCAGGAACAAGAAAGTTTTGAACACGTTTAATAAAAGCTGAAGCAAAGTCACATATACTGCTGTGGATGTGATGATTATTTTTGTTATTTTGTTTGTCAAAGCACTTTGAGGCAGAGGCAGGGCAGCTGACCGGGGACCAGAAAGCCCCAGGCTCGATCCCCAGCCACTCCCACATGTGGTGTCTCTGAGAAAGACGCCCAATCCCCAATTGCTCCCCGATCGCCCACATAGCTGCCCACTGCTCCACCTGGGTGCATCCCAGGTGTGATGGGTTAAATGCAGAGAACTAATTTCACCATAGTATGGGAACACACAATGATGACAACACATAGCACTTTATTTACTTTATTTTAATTAAGATAAATGTCAGCATTTGTTGCTCAAAATTTTGCTTTTAACATTCAGATATTGTTATGCTTTCAAAAGTGTAAGCATCCCATTTGCACAAATGTTCCTTTACACACCACAGTATGAATTAGCAATATGAACTATAAAGAAAAAACAACCTCCTTGCAGCTTGAGCACATTTGTCATTAAGGCAAAAACTGGGATGTTCTGACATTCACAGACTTTTGGAAATGATAATGTTGTGTCAGACATGAAAGACTAGAGCAACAACATCTAATCTGTATTTCCAGAGAAACTGTGAACACCAGTTAGACAAGTTACCAAGACAAAGGCGATGATGGAAACCAGTAATAATCCCCCTCTCCTCTCTACATGTCTAGAACTGCTATTTTAACCCAGAGGTTAAGACAATAAGCTGTTACTAAGAGGGAAATGAAGGGATTACTGCATGGCTGTTATTAAAGTTCAGCAAACCAAAATTCAGTATAAAACAAACTGGAAGAGGCTAACAGGGCATTTATCTATACTCATCTGTTTTTATTAATTACGAGTTCAAAATACAAATGTATCAACTGATTTTAGAGGCTATTGTAATATCAATACTTATGAATAATTTGAAAATTACTTTTAGTGGAAACCTGTTCAGGTCTCCCAGATGGCCTTTTCATACTGGGTTTGACTGGTCATGAAAAAAAAATTATGCTAACATAACATCTCCAAGGGTGTTGCAGTGTGTAATGTTAATTACATTTTAGGGATAGTATATAAATAATGTCATATATTAAGTAATGTGACTTTGGGGATTTATAACGAATGGCTATATTTAGGCTCAGTTAAAAAAAAAATTAAAACTAAAACAGATTCTCCACTCTTTTATTTTTTATTGTTTTGCTTTTAAGCCTCTCTCATACAGTGATTTAATCACTTCAGCGGTCTGTGGCATCTGTGTTTCGTTAGTTACTGATGCAGTCAGTTTTGGACACAATCCCCTCCATTATGCCCTGTGGCATTTATAATCCAGACTCAATCGATTAGCTGAGACATTTTCCAGATGTCTGTGTCAATACTGATTGCCACAATGTTTTGATTAATTCAGTGAATAGTTGATGTTATTACTGGTCCAAGTTTTGTTCTGCTAAAAACTGAGGAGGGTTTTTAATTTGGCAGAAGCTCAGATTGTATGCTACAATAATACAAAACAACACTGTTTCTGGAACTTGCTGTCACTTAAGATGCTGTCTGATAAAGACCCATGTGTCATTGGCTTGGAGGAACATTTTATATTTTTTGTGCCCTTAAAAAAAGTCGAAAACAAACAAATAAACCAACAAACTGATTTTAGTATCAATTACCATTATATAACGTTAGTCATCACACTCATATGTAGATAAAAATAAAATGTTTTGAAAAAGTAATTAAAACAAAAGGGAATATTACTCAAGCTGCTGCCCCCGCAACTCGATTTCAGAACAAGCGGAATGGATGGATGGGAAAAATATTAATTTATTGATTTAGAGCCATGGCCCTAAATCAACACTGTAAGTTTCCTGTGTGGTTTTGAAACATCAGGATGTTCATGGCCATGGTTTTCCTCACATTAGACTACATGTGAAAAACTTTTTTTTTTTTAACTTTTCTGTAATCATGGTATGTAGATAACTGTATCAACTGTACTGTCCTAAAAGCAGACTCAATGTCTGTCTGTCTGTCTGTCTGTCTATCTATCTATCTATCTATCTATCTATCTATCTATCTATCTATCT